AGGGGAGGGGGAGGGGGGGCTTCTACACTATCTATAAATACACAATTTTTTTTAAAAAAATATCACAGCATTCTCATTTCATCTTAATCCTCTCTAATTCTCTTAATTCTCAATTCATATGATCTCTCCATACATTTTATATTTATATAATAATATAAATATATATTAATATATTATATAATATATAAATATATACTCATATAAATATATAGTATTAAATTTTTAGTTATACATTCATTATTCATATAAATATATAATCATATTCTCATATATTGATTTGTTATAAAATAATATTATAATTTTGAAATTAAATATATAATTAATAATATAAATATTTTAATATAGTCCTTTTTTATATAAAAAAATATATTAAAATGTCGAGAGAGTCCGGTAAAAAGTCGGTGGATATGGGCGCCGTGAACCAAAGTTCGAGGAGAGGCAAAGCTAAGCCCACCTCCGACGGTTCAACCTCACGCGGATGCGGTTCTCAAGGAAGACACTTCGTCTCTTCCTTCCCTGGTACCCCGATCATCTCGTGGGCGACACTTTGACGGATCAAGAATTTGACCATTATATGTTAGGTAGAGACGACGGCAATCTCGAAACTCTTGAAAGTTTATTCGAGGACATTGATGAAGCAGGAATGGACGTGGAGCCTACACTGCACACCAACAATCCTACCGACGTCGACGAGGAGGCAGGTGAGCCCGAGACCTCTCAAGGTCTGGACAAAGGTAAAAAAAATTAAAATAAGATTTATTTGTTTATTATTTTTCAAAAGAAACAAAAGATGACATAATTTTTGGAACTTGTAATTATTGTGCCACCATTATTAAAATGGGAGTTTCCGGCGGTTATGGTGGTCCAGAAAAACACCTAAGGTCGAGGCATCCCGTGGAGTACGCCAAATACGCGGCGAAAAAGAAGGGACAACAAGAAGTGCAAACCCAAATTTCTCGGTTTGCTAACAAGGGTAAGGGCAGGCTTTTTGCTTATAGCGACGAGCAAAATAAGCAAAAGATGGCCGAAATGATTTGTGAAGAAAAATTCTCATACATGTTTTCTGAAAAACTTGGATTTATTGATTATTGTCAACAGGCATTATACCCTCAAGCAAGAGGTTTTTCAAGAAAAACAATTAAGCGAGAAATTATTCGACAATATAAAATTGAAAAAATCAATTTGGCAAATTTTTTTCTCAATTTTAATTCTCGTGTTACTATTTATTCTGATATTTGGGGTGAAAAATATCATAATTTGTCTTATATGGGTGTTATTTGTCATTGGATAGATAGTGATTGGATAATGCATAAACGTGTTCTTGCATTTCGTGATTTCAATGATTCTCATACTGCTGAAAATATTTTTCTATTGCTTCAGCGTATTCTGCGGGATTACAACTTTGTTGATAAAGTGTTTGCATTTGGTTTTGATAATGCTACTAATAATACTGTTGCTATTCTTAGACTTAAAGAAATTTGCCCCCCTACTACGAGTATGGGTAGATTTCTACATCAAAGGTGTGCTTGTCATGTTTTAAATTTATGTGTTCAACAGGGATTAGAAGCTATGGGGGGGTTTGACAAATATTAAAAATGGAATTAGAAGGGTTTGGGGTAGTCGTCTTCATTCGAATTCCCGGAGACATTCTTTAAGTCTAAGGGTAGAAGAGCAATAACATTTGCCAAAGATATCAACATTAGATGGAATAATACATATAAGTTAATAGCACAGATTTTAAGCTACAAAGAGGACCTTGCTGAATTTCTTAGGGATGAACTTCTTTTAGGGTCCGTTTGGTATATGGAATTGATAGAATTAGAATTGAATTGGAATTGAAATTCCATGAGTTTCAATTCCATAGAATTGAATTCACCAATTCCATACATTTTTTGCACTATCAATTTTAAATCCACATAATTTTTGTGCTACCAAAAATCAAAATTGGAATTGAAGTCCTCAATTCCAATTCCATAGTTTGAATTCCATGCACCAAACGGAGCCTTAATGATTTCACCTAATGAATTTATTATTGTTGAAAAATTGAATACCGTATTAGAAGTTTTTAATAACGCAACTCTTACTTTTTCGCATGTTTACCAATCAACTACAAATAGATTTTTTAAAGAGTGCGTTACAATCGAAACATGTTTTCGTGAAAGTTTGGCTGATCGAGATTTGTACCCTTATGTCTCTCCTATGAAAGATAAATGGTGTGCTTATTATTTGTACTGATGGATACCCTGGACAGGGGGTATCCGGTCTTTGTATAATATTAATCAGGGTGGTCCAGTTTGTGCGATCGGCCCGTTAGTCAATTACTTATTTAGGGCGGCCCAGCCTGTTGGGCCGGCCCATTGGTCTTTGTATGTAAACCCTAGCCTTCACTCTCCCATTATATATACCCCTCTTCTTGGAAGAGGGAAGTGGGAGGAGCTCATTCCACATGTTCCGAACGGACGTTCTAACTGATATTCCAACTAGCACAATACTATCCTCAGTTTTACTCGACCCCATACTTTGTGCACTCGTACTCAGTTCGATACTCATCCGCCTAGTTACCTAGGCCCCCGGGTTCCATAACCCAACATTGGTGCTTTCATTGAGAGTGTCGAACACATCAAGCGTGCTCCAAAAACAAAAAAACAAACAACAAAATTGTTCTTCCAATTCTTCGTGGTGGGATTCGGTCACTGGTCTTGGATTCCCCACCCATCACCGACCAGCTCTGCCATTGGCACAAAGAAGACCACCGCCGGCTTCAAAGCACGACGGGATAGCCACGCCGTAGATCTACCGCAGATTTGTCATCTGAGGACTCAATTGACGACCCCGGATCTGCGCCGGCAGCTCCATTCTATCAGAGGTGCTGCGACTGGTGCTAGCCGCGGCCTTTCACCTGCTATCCGAGCCGGACTAAATCACGAACGAGAGTGGCGGCTACGGTCCTTGAAGTTCCGACGACCCCTTCACTCCGGCGAGCGCAGCAGCGGCAAGCTTCGGACGGTGAACCGGCGACCAGCAACCCCCGCAGCAGATCTGTGCATCAGATCTATGCAGCCGGCGACGAGGAAACACGCATCCAGCAGCCGAACCCCGATGCTCACCGCCGATGACTCCCGCGAGACGCTCCCTTCTCCGTTCGAAGATCCTCGTCGCGGGGCGCCACGCCTCGGTCGCCGCCGCATTCAATTCTTCGTCGCCGCAGCCGCATCTGCCGCTGCCATTGGAACCCGGCGTTGCAATCGCAGCCCAGATCCGATGTCGCCGCCGCCATGGTTTCAAGGTCTCCATCGTCGAGACCAAGAAGAGCGATTGGGAAGATGGAGGATCTCGATGTTTAGAGGGAAGCAAATCCACCATAGTTCTACGCCCACAGCCTCCTCTCGATTCCCTATGTGATCCAGCTCATTTTGATAGGAAAGGAATAGTTCCTTTGTATTAATTCTCCGTATGGGGGGGGGCTACACAATTCATACGAGAGAGCAACAAATAAAAGATAATTTTTTACACCTAACACATCATTTCAACTATTCCATATTTATTATTATTTTTTACCATATTATCAATATGGTAATTCCTATAATTCACTCTATTATTATTACTATTACCTTGTCCACCACATGTGATCGGACCTCACTTGGACGATGATATTACACTTTGTGTCCAACACTTTAAGCCCCGATGTGGGACGCGCGTGTGAAGCTTAATCTCACACCCCACACTGGCCAGCGACCTGCCTCAGGGCATGGCTCAGATCCAACTCATTTAGTCATTCCTTAGCGAGGCCGGGTAAAACCTCTCTACGAGGTGTTGAAGATCGTCCGCGACGATATTATTGCGAGGCCGAGGTAAGCCGTCCATCTCGACGCACTCCTATCCGTCTTCCACGACGAGATCTCATTTCCTCTTCCACGAGGTCGAGGTAAGACGTCCACCGCGACGCACTCCCATCCGTCTCCCACGACGTGATTTTATTTCCTCTTCTACGAGGCTGAGGTAAGCCCTCCCCGCGAGGCACTCCAGATCGTCCGCGACGATATTATCGCGAGGCCGAGGTAAGCCGTCCATCTCGACGCACTCCTATATATCTGTCTTCCATGACGTGAACTATTTGCTCTCGGATCTAAGGCGAGGGGTCCATCCTTTGTGCCTATCTCACTTACCCGAGCAGCTCTCATTTGAAGACCACGGTCTCACTAAGGACGACGTCAAGGTTTGTTCTAGACCAGACTACTACACGATCGGCGCACTCCGTTGATCAAGCCTATCTTTTGTCCAAAACTTTGGACCCAACTCATACGTTGACTTACTTTTTCTTGGCCGCGTGGTGATCGGTCCATCCGAGCCCGCGAGCGCCTTGTGTTCTTTTTTTGAACTCATTTTGCAGGTTAGAAGGATGAGAAGGCCAAGCTCGGCCTCAGCCGCTTAAGCTCGGCTTCAGCCACCTCGTGGGGCACTCGAGCTCGGCCTCGACCACCTCGTGGAGCACTCCAGCTCGGCCTCAACCACTCAGGGTCGGCCTTAGCCACTCAAGCTCGGCCTCAGCCATTCAAGCTCGGTCTCAGCCATTCAAGCTCGTGAGGAAGCCACAGACNGTGGTGATCGGTCCATCCGAGCCCGCGAGCGCCTTGTGTTCTTTTTTTGAACTCATTTTGCAGGTTAGAAGGATGAGAAGGCCAAGCTCGGCCTCAGCCGCTTAAGCTCGGCTTCAGCCACCTCGTGGGGCACTCGAGCTCGGCCTCGACCACCTCGTGGAGCACTCCAGCTCGGCCTCAACCACTCAGGGTCGGCCTTAGCCACTCAAGCTCGGCCTCAGCCATTCAAGCTCGATCTCAGCCATTCAAGCTCGTGAGGAAGCCACAGACTCCCACCGGCGCCGAGCATGGACACTACTCCCCTTCACCTCGGAATTCTTCCTCGGCTTAGGGAGTGGGGGACTCCGGGTGCTCGGCTCGTGATTGTTACATCACAGATCGTGAGAGCTTGGCGATCGACATCCCAACCTTGTATCAGATTGCAGTAGTCCGTGTCGGCATGCACTCGCCGGCAATCCATTATGTTGAACAGCCATCGACTCCCGACAACGAGTCCGGGGGACTTGAAGATCACCTCTTTTGAGATTCACACAGAAGACCTCACACCCTAGCAATGTTTTCTTGATCCACTCTGTGGGACGAGATGTACTCTTTTCTTGACCGAAGATTTTTTCCCATCCTCATGGGTTTTTTCCTGGGCAAGTTTTTAATGAGGCACCCCCCGTGGAGTGGGTCACACATTGACGGGATGTGGGTGGATCTATGAAGATGACGACCTATTCATCCACTCTCACGGTGATTGCTGCACTCTGGATAGCGAACCGGCGATGTACTTTGTACGAGAGCAAATCATTTCAAGACAATGAGCAGAGTATGTGTTTCTTTTTGCCATTCCGAACAGCGAATTGGCATTACGTTTCTGACCTGTGGCGTTGCTTGCCTTACTTCACCGGGCTCGAGACATTAAGTTGGCGATGCAGCAAAGAAGACAGTGTTCTTCCGTGGCGAATTGTTGCTCTACTTCCACTTCACCTCGAGTTCCTCTCGGCTCCGAAAGTAGGGGACTCATGATGGATACCCTGGACAGGGGGTATCCGGTCTTTGTATAATATTAATCAGGGCGGTCCAGTTTGTGCGATCGGCCCGTTAGTCAATTACTTATTTAGGGCGGCCCAGCCTGTTGGGCCGGCCCATTGGTCTTTGTATGTAAACCCTAGCCTTCACTCTCCCATTATATATACCCCTCTTCTTGGAAGAGGGAAGTGGGAGGAGCTCATTCCACATGTTCCGAACGGACGTTCTAACTGATATTCCAACTAGCACAATACTATCCTCAGTTTTACTCGACCCCATACTTTGTGCACTCGTACTCAGTTCGATACTCATCCGCCTAGTTACCTAGGCCTCCGGGTTCCATAACCCAACATTGGTGCTTTCATTGAGAGTGTCGAACACATCAAGCGTGCTCCAAAAACAAAAAAACAAACAACAAAATTGTTCTTCCAATTCTTCGTGGTGGGATTCGGTCACTGGTCTTGGATTCCCCACCCATCACCGACCAGCTCTGCCATTGGCACAAAGAAGACCACCGCCGGCTTCAAAGCACGACGGGAGAGCCTCGCCGTAGATCTGCCGCAGATTCGTCATCTGAGGACTCAATTGACGACCCCGGATCTGCGCCGGCAGCTCCATTCTATCAGAGGTGCTGCGACTGGTGCTAGCCGCGGCCTTTCACCTGCTATCCGAGCCGGACTAAATCACGAACGAGAGTGGCGGCTACGGTCCTTGAAGTTCCGACGACCCCTTCACTCCGGCGAGCGCAGCAGCGGCAAGCTTCGGACGGTGAACCGGCGACCAGCAACCCCCGCAGCAGATCTGTGCATCAGATCTATGCAGCCGGCGACGAGGAAACACGCATCCAGCAGCCGAACCCCGATGCTCACCGCCGATGACTCCCGCGAGACGCTCCCTTCTCCGTTCGAAGATCCTCGTCGCGGGGCGCCACGCCTCGGTCGCCGCCGCATTCAATTCTTCGTCGCCGCAGCCGCATCTGCCGCTGCCATTGGAACCCGGCGTTGCAATCGCAGCCCAGATCCGATGTCGTCGCCGCCATGGTTTCAAGGTCTCCATCGTCGAGACCAAGAAGAGCGATTGGGAAGATGGAGGATCTTGATGTTTACAGGGAAGCAAATCCACCATAGTTCTACGCCCACAGCCTCCTCTCGATTCCCTATGTGATCCAGCTCATTTTGATAGGAAAGGAATAGTTCCTTTGTATTATTGCTCCGTATGGGGGGGGGCTACACAATTCATACGAGAGAGCAACAAATAAAAGATAAGTTTTTTACACCTAACACATCATTTCAACTATTCCATATTTATTATTATTTTTTACCATATTATCAATATGGTAATTCCTATCATTCACTCTATTATTATTACTATTACCTTGTCCACCACATGTGATCGGACCTCACTTGGACGATGATATTACACTTTATGTTCAACACTTTAAGCCCCGATGTGGGACGCGCGTGTGAAGCTTAATCTCACACCCCACACAGGCCAGCGACCTGCCTCAGGGCATGGCTCAGATCCAACTCATTTAGTCATTCCTTAGCGAGGCCGGGTAAAACCTCTCTACGAGGTGTTGAAGATCGTCCGCGACGATATTATCGCGAGGCCGAGGTAAGCCGTCCATCTCGACGCACTCTTATCCGTCTTCCACGACGAGATCTCATTTCCTCTTCCACGAGGCCGAGGTAAGACGTCCACCGCGACGCACTCCCATTCGTCTCCCACGACGTGATTTTATTTCCTCTTCTACGAGGCTGAGGTAAGCCCTCCCCGCGAGGCACTCCAGATCGTCCGCGACGATATTATCGCGAGGCCGAGGTAAGCCGTCCATCTCGACGCACTCCTATATATC